TGTTTGAGACTGTTGATTTTGCTGTTTTTTGTACGAACTGGACGTGCTACGACCTATAAGCGAATGGCATATAACTTAAAAACTCAAATAAGAGACTGAAAGCCAAAAGATATTGATCCTGACTTTTCAATCAGGTCTTCTTACTAGCATCTATGCTTCATAACATCAGTAGAAACTAGACTTTCATCATTGTCTGCTGTCGTTTTGTATGACACTAAATGAACAATAACTATAGGACACATAGTCTGACACCTGGATTCAGAATTATTCGTATTACTCTCGCAATTACTGTATCACAAAACATATCATCTGAAAAAATAACAAATTTCAACTCGTTGAAAACAGCTTGCTACCAGAAAAACCTAAACATAACACAGCTATGTATAAAATTAGGAGCGAAAACAAAACATTTGGCTATACGCACATTTCGATTAAAAAGACATAAAAAGTTCACGTTGAGCAAGGTTTACAAAATACAAGCGAAGTTATTCCTATTTAGCATATCAAGCGCATTGAAAAATCACTTACAGGTACATTTACATCGTTTAAAAACTTTATCGTATTTAAATTGTGTACTGTAGAACATACTTGTTTGTCATGTGTTAAGAAACAATAAAAAGGAATGCATTTCAAAAACGTTAGTGTTGAAAGCAAGTAAAAGTAAAAATGAAATCGAATGTATTTAGAATGAGCAAAGAGCGCATGTCTGTTTTGTAGAGTACATTTTCTAGGTTGCATGCAATGTATTTAATGTGCTTATCGATAATCTAGTACATGAATACAGGTATGCACTTCAACCGGCTTCCTGTAACGCTAATATGCTCACAATTAATCAAAGTATATAATCCATCCCTAAACCCTTCAAAAGTAATTAGTCAGTTTTACCATGCACTTACTTGCCATGTTTCAAAGTTAAATTCAGTTTCTCGAAAGCACCTCTGACCTTTTCGTGCAGAAAACATCTGCTGCACAACACTAAACGAGATTTCAAAATTTTTATGTCACTCGTTGATCGGAATGCATTGCCATTTCTTAACTATCTTGCTGACCACTTGTACTTAAACCAAACAAATGTAGATTTTGTCGTGACAAATCAAGCGCGAGATTTTGTGCTGCGAACAAACGAAGAATATTTCTGATTTTCCTTTTTAAGTTTTTCAGCTAAATGCTTTTGTAAAATGATCGTTATTTTTATTTTTATCGAAGGAATTTTCAAAAATGTAAAGCCATGATCGAAATAAACCTTGTTTTTTGTGATCAAATAAATCTCAGCGTGTGTTGTGTCATCAAAGACACCGCAGGGTAAAATTACCTCTTTAAAAATCGTAGGGATGGAAGATTACCCATATTCCCTTTCTTTACCCTACGCTTGTTAAGCCTTGTACCTCGAATTCAAATCACTGAAAGGATAACGTCAATAGATTGAAGCTTTTTGCTTCAAGTATACACATTAATAATACTATTTTTTACAAACCTTTTTTATAAAGTAATTCAGTAAATAGTTTGAACCCGGAAGTATCGTTACATGTTTGTAGATGTAGATCGTCCAGGTTAGTATAGTCCTGAGAAGGACTGCTTTTGTTGTTGTTGACTGACGTTTTGACAACCTTAGCGGTAGTCATCTTCAGAGTCATATATTATATAAGTCAACGCTGGATAGTAAGCTCTCATTTTCGAGACCAAAGTACATCAAAATAAAGTGTTTGTTTATAAGGGATAGGTTATAACCTCGCTTTTTAGCGTCGAGCTATTTCGAAAAAACTACACGGAAAAATTTTGTAATGAAGGAAAATTTGCAGTTTGAAGGAAAAAAAATTTGAAGGAAGAAAATTTGAAGGAAAATTTGAATGAAAAAAATTTGAAGGAAGAAAATCTGAAGGGAAAAAAACAGTTTTTCTTATAGTTGGCTATACGTAAATAGTTTTTTACAGTTTTTATTGGTATTTTGACCCTTCAGTACATGCTTAGGGCAAAAATATCAGTTCAAAAAACATGTCTGAAGCGTTTCTTTGTATCTCATGGTCACAGTAAGATATCTACTAACATAAGTAGATAAAAATTTTTCGGGATGTTTAAAAATCTTTCCATGAAGAAGATGGTATCTCACGTTATGACGTCACTCGTTGGACATGACGACATCACACAGGCGTGGTACCAATCAAAGGCTGGGAATTCTTTTAAATATATAACTTTGATGTGTCGTAGATAGATAAAATGTTTCAGTATAATTGAAAATCACGCCACTGATTACGCTACAAGAACGCTACAAGATAAAATGAACGATTTAGAGAAGACGTAGCTGCGCAGCTACAAGGTATATCACAGTGTTCTTTTATCTCGTTTATGATTTGCAGAAAAAGAGTCGGATGATTTTCGATATTCTCGTCATTTCACATGCCTCGATATCAGTATAAGAGAGAGCTATTAAATATTGTCTATTTAAAAGAATTCACAACCTTTGATTGGCTTGTACGACTGCGTGATATCCTCATGTCCAACGAGTGACGTCATAAATTGGACTGACTTTCCTCAAGCACGCTATTGGTCATATTGTGTAAGCACGGTCGACGCACGACGTCGAACGATTGGCAAGGACAGTAGCCAATGATTTATAACCAAATGGACGCCATCTTGAATGGAGGCATAAAGCAAGATTATCGATTGAAAATAAGAATGTTTTTATGCAGTGCGGTGTTTGAAATTAAATGAGATATGATCTTCGCACTTAGCTGGACAATTTAAGCAATCGTCTCAGGACCTGAAAAAGGAGGCAATGAGTCACCTGATTTTTTCAGGTCCTGAGACGATTGCTTAAATTGTCCAGCTAAGTGCGAAGATCATAACCCGATTGAAAATAAGTTAAAAATAAATTTAAAAAACAATCCTATCGAACATTTAATAAAACAAAGCCTAGACTATCATCTCTACAACTACATATATATTAACGAGAAAGAAGCAAATCTTAGTCGCACATAGGGTCAGTTCTGCCACTTTTCAAGAAGGTGCCTTGGCTCAGACTCGCACATAAAATCGAACAGTGTATAAAACGAGTCGGATATCTAGAAGAATGGGTTCTACAGTAAGTCATTGACAATAACACAATCTCAAGTGAATGGTTTGCCAACTATGAAGAACAATTCACATTGTCGGTTGCTTTGTACAAGGACAGCGAAAGAGTGATAATCGTGGGGTGGGGGAGCTTCATACATACATGGGGTATAATCCGTAACTAGAAAAGATATAGCCCATCACGAATATATAGATATTAGCCCTCCAATTATCAATCTTCCGCCGCCCTTGAAAATTGTGCTTTGCTGCATGCTAAAAGTTCAAGACGTCACTTGGCACATACCAGAATTTACAACAATGCACCTTTAATATTTGAGACTGATCCAGCATTCCCACCAGTATGTAACTGTTACCCACTTATTTCGAGGGGGAAGTAAATGTCGACGACCTTGTACTGCTGACGTATGTGCTGATGGCGGATTGCAAAAGTTCTGCTCTCCTCATTTCGTCTTCGCGCTGTCTCTTCAGATCCGTTTCTCTTGCCAAAACCTTTTGTTCCAAAGACTCGATTTCACGAGCTTTTTCTGCAAGCATATCTTTCTGTTGTCTTTCGCGGTTCTTCCTGTCCACTTCTACATTCATAATCCTTTCTTCTAGATCATTTTTCATTCGCTTTTCAGACTCCAACTCCACTCTCAAGCGAGATACTTCCGCCACATTCTTGTTTTCTTTCTGCCGCCATTCATTCTCTGCGGCATCCCGTTCTGCTTTCAAGTCAAAAGGTCCTTTCTCAATTGCCCTACTTCCTTCTGTAACTCGGAAATTTGAGCGAGATACTTATTTGCTTGAGAATGAAGTTCATCACGCGAGTTTTGCAACGTATTTAAACGATCTTCGTATTGTTTCGAAGAGAAGCGTTGTTCGTGCTTAAGCTGTGTCGTCGTGCTCAACATTTCTTCCTTGTGTTTCAGTCCGTTTGATACCAACTCGGATTTCAGTAGACTGACCTGTTCTTGGGCTTCAATTTTCTCCTTCTCAACACATTCAATTCTACCTTTCAGTTTGGCATCTAACTCCTCGTAATTCACACGCAAATGCTCCACTTCTTTTGCGTTTTTGTCCACGAGTTCAACCAGAGCCCGTTCGTGGCTCGCTTTCAGATCTGTCATCGCATTCTTATGCTCCGCAATCGCCTTAGCGATGTCACTTTCCAATTTCAAAATTGAATCTTTAGAAGCGAGTTTGTGTTCCTTCAGTTCGGCAAGTGTAATATCAAGCTTTGACTTTTCTTCCTTTAATCTTTGAAAATCGCTTTCTATGGCCGTGCGCTGAGCCTTCTCCGAAGAAAGCTCGTTTCTAACATCAATCAATGATTTTTCCAAGGTTGATATCTTGTTGTCTTTGATCGCTGTTTCATTCTTCAAAGACTCCACCTGCGCTGAAATCTCATTAAAAGATGCTTCACTTTCTTTCAAAGATTTCTTCAATAGATTTATTCTGTCGCTACTTGATTTCGACAGCTCTTCGTTTTCTTTTCCTTGTGCGTCAAGTTTTTTTTGCAACATGGAAACCTGCAACAAGACGACGCCAATCTCAAATCTACAGTGAAGTTCTCAAAATTTACAGCTGGCATAGTTTGAAAATGTTTAGTTATACTTCTACGCCGACTAACAATAATAAAAACGAGGGCATGAAAGGCTGCTTTATTTATTTAACTGCATTCCCACTGTGTCCCAATTTAGTTAGCCAGGTCAACTACATGGTAACAGGCATATGCGCTTATCCAGAACACACTTATAAGCTAATTACCAGTTAACACAAAGATATCATTTTCCTACTGGTAGTCACTAAGAAGCAATATGAGGGATAAGAGCCTAAAATTCAGTTTTCCAAAACCCTTCGGAAAACAGTATTTGATAGCTATGACAATTTAAAATGCAAACCTGCATTGTATTTTCAAATTCAATTTTTCAATGGTTTTCATCATCTTGTCCGTCCTCATTGCCTCCTCGTTTCTTGCACTTTCCCTCTCAGCATTCAAATTTAATGCAACAGTGATGGCCTTTACAATATCTTGAGGCACATTGTTTCCTAGAACAGTAATGACACTCGATATATATACCTCATGGCAGACCAAAAAATAAGCACAAAATCTTAAATCTCAATCTTAAAGCAATTTCTTTCCATGTATTGCAAACAACAATTCAGAGTTTCAATTTGTTTAATCGAGACTGAAAGTCTGTCAAAAATGATGGAAAAGTATATAAAAAAGTCTTAACTAATGAATAGATACAATTCTAACTTGTGTAAATTCTCAATTTTTGATGAGGATTTATCCTTAAAAAGAGGCATGAAAAGTCCCTCATTGATCAAGGGAATCAACAGGGATGTGAAGCAGGGGAGTGAATGGGGTAGGGGCCTGACTACCAATAATTTTCCACCATTTTGGAATATCCCCCTGGATCCCTACTTGCACTTCAACTTCTGCTGTGGATCCCCAATAAATAATATGCTGTTCCCAATCTCTGATATAGTCCTTCAATAAACTTGTTTTCACATACCATCAAAGCACACTCTACCATAAAACTTGCAGCCCCTAAAACCAGGCTCTACCTTGCAATTCCAAGGTGGTCAACGACTTGTTATACTGCAAAGCTGATAGGAAAGCACGAGCACCAAGGAGACCAGCATTATTCCACCGCAAGTCAAGTGCCTTTAATGTTGAATTGCTTTTGAGTGCCAAAGCCAATTCCTTCGCACCATGATGAGATATTTGATTATTCCTCAGATCCAGCACGAGCAACGTTTCATTTATAACCAAACCCTCTGCCAACTTGCCAAGTCCACTACCCCAAAGTCCCAAAGAGTTCCAATCCAAACGCAAGCATCGAACCGACGTATTTTTGGTGAGAAACAGGCCAACGATTTCTGCACCAGAGCTTCGTAAATTATTCCCCTTGAGGTCCAAGTTTTTTAAGGATTTTGTGTGGAAGAAGCCACACAAGAGTATCTTAGACGAATCCTCGTTCAACAGGCAGTCGGTGAAACGCACATCTTTGAAGAACGTATCGAGCGCAAATGTTTTTGCTAGTGCAAAACAATCTTCCGGAGAAAGGCTACAAGATGACAAATCGAGAATTCTCTCGCCATCCTTGTTGTGAAGCTGCATTTGAGAATCAACACATTCCAAAGGACTGACGTTGCATTCTTTGCAAGCACGGAGATAGCGATTATAGAATTCTTCCATGCCTATTGCCTAATACATTTTAAAGCTACAATAGAATTATAGGAAAAATAAGAGAGCCAAATTCACAAAACAACGCATTTGATATTGGTGAATTTACATTGCCATAACTTTTGAATGCGATAAATTCATAGAACAGTGATTTGTAAACACTCGTATTGTTTGTATATCTTTACTAGAGGTTACTACAATAGAATATGCTGCCTAAGAATTGCTATGGCAAAAGTTTCACTTCAGAACTGCTGTATTTGTATGTATGTATTATTACTAATATGATATAATAAAGCTATCTCTTTCAGTTTCGATTAGGTCATTTGAAGGAAGTATTTCATGTATTTTTCATTACTTTTCAATATCAAAGCTCACAGAGAGTGAGATTAGTTAAAAGGAGTTTAATAGCAAACGTCAATTTTTCTGGTCACACACGTGACGTAGCACGTTTGACAAGCTTGACTGTTTTCCCGTATCGACATTTAAAGCTTTAAATTCACCGTTTGTAATTATAATATCGCCATGTAAACTTAATCACCCTAAGCATGAACCGAGCAGAACTAACTCTGTCGTCTTCTCGGATTCGATGCAAGCTAAACCGAAGAATATAAATACTTATAGGTCTTGCAGTTGTATTCGAAATAATGGGACACTCTTTGGTTACGCAACATTTAACATACATCACGCTGAATGACTTGAAGGACGACTACAACAATGTCATCCTGAAACCAATAGAGGCAAAGGACTTGTTATCTTGAATAAAGACGACTACACAAGGAAGATGGACGTTATACTATCAGGCATACCTTAAAGTGGTTATATCACGAATTTTAGCCCCCCTTTTTTATTAGCTAAATTGAAAGACCTTGTTTCAGTGATTTTAAATCTGCAATTATAATTGAAATTGGATTGGTGAAAGTGATTTTACGGACGTTCAAAGTCACGATTTTCAGCATTTTTTGCGAACTTTTTGATCGGTATGCAAATGACTTGTGACGTAGAAAGTTGAACCATATATCAACATGGCGTATTCTACTAGTAATCTTAATAAGAAACGCGGAGGAAAACGCTGTGTTGCTGGCGAACCTAATCAAATTAGTTGCGCCAATGATTCAAAAACAGAAGGAATGTCGATGCATCTGTTTCCTAAAAAGAAACAGAGCCGCAAAGACATAGAAAATGGATAAATTTTGTGCGTAAACATAGACCGGGTTTTGAGGCTTCCTCTACCTCGTGTCTGTGTTCTGCGCATTTTGAAGATTCTTGTTTTGACCTTAATTTGAGCGTGCAAGTCAAGCTCAAAGAAGGTTGAAGAAAGATGCTATCCCAACCATTGACGTGGCTGGGATTCCTGAACCATTACAGGACGAAATAACCGATCGAAAGCGAAGACAAGTAAGTTTACGCTTGTTTATGTTAATTTTTCTTTTGTCATATGTAAATTCGATATAAGTTTTGTAGATTATTCGACATACTCTCCATAAGCCATCGCTGAAGGAAACATGTTCTCTCAATGAGGAAGTACCATCTACTAGTGATGAAGCTGAGCATGTTCAAGTATGCACTGGGGAAGCAAACGATTCGCCATTTGAACGGCTTGCTCTTTTCCATTTTTATATTTATGCTATGATTTAATTCCATATATTTTTTCTTTTGTCTTTTTTCCCAGACTGACATTGAAGAAAAGATATTCTTTCATTTAATTCTTTCAGCTTAACCTATCGGTAGTTGCACCAATTTGTTTTTATTGTTTACTCTTGTTTCAAACCATTAAACTGCATGTCAAATTATATAGTGCATCCGTGTATCTCCTATTTGGTTTTCATCTAGGCATATTTCCTGACCATTCCAAACTCAGCAAAGAAGGTCAACAGTCTCTACAGTGCACAAGTTAAAAGACTATTCCATCATCGCCCCTCTGATGGTATGTAACCTGTTGTGTTACCACTTGGATATGCTTTCCGAATAAAGTGGTAAACACAAGCAGGTAAAGGCCGAGTATTCTCCTATCCCATAGACCCACAAAACCATCGCATCAACCATCTGTATGCCACAGCTCTCAAGTACCTGAAGTAAATAAAAAGGTTGGACTAATTATTGTTGATGAAACAATGTTGATTATAACATTGTTTCTCATACAATTTACAATCTTACATATTTAATGATTGTGATGCTTGGCGGCGATAAGCACGTCCATTCCTATCTCTCAATAGTGGCCCGACGTTTTCAAGGACAGCCTCATGAACTAAAGGCCCAAATTTGGCATGCTGTGTTATGCATGATATTTTCTCAATGCTGCCATCGAATGTCATTTTCTGCAAAGCTGGTCCAATTTCCTTACAGCATCTGTACTCTAATGCGCCTTCTAACAAATCGGTATGACAGCATTGACAATTACACCTGAAACGTGGGAGCATTCTGGTTTATAAAGTAACTTTATGTATATTACAAACAGGAGAAAACAACAACTTACCATTCACCAAGTGGAATTACGCCATCACTTCGTTGTTCTAATGTCGCAGGAGAATTCCATCGGGATCATCTGGAGTATGCACTTCATCACCATCTCCTGCTAGCGGTTCATCGTCATATGCGAAGTCGTTTAAATGCTCGACATAACCCACGGATTCCGAGCTCGAATCAGATACGCATTCAGACATCGAATTCGAATTATCTGAGCACTGATTTGAGGCCATACTTTCCGGACAACTTGTTTTTTAATATTTTATTGAAAATACTGTCATTATTTGTTTTTAAGACAAGAAAAACGACAACAAAATCACCTTCTATAATATAATATTATATTGACGGAAACAGACGTGTTCAACTATCTACGTCACAAGTATCAATATGGCGTCGTAAAAAATTCGCAAATAGTACCCGACTTTGGAGGCAAAATTAAGCAACTTATATTTATCTGTTTAAGTCCAGCGAGATCCTGACTCACTCTTCATCTTCGTTCGTTATTCAAATGTGTTTATGTAACAAAACTCATAAGCATAAAAGATTGATGTTACAATAAGGTATCAACTCTCATCACCATTTCTAATCTGATATGTGGTCGCGTTGTTTATATTAAATCTTTCATCCGTTTGTTGAGTATGTGACATGTAAAGAACTAAAGCAAGCATAATTTTGTTCACACAGTCGTCTTACTTCTAAAACGGAAGTAATTTTAGAAAAATTAAACGATATATTAGAATTACATTACCGACATAACAAATTAGCTAAAGCAACATCTTGATAAAGTATGACTGAACATGCACGAGAAATCATATCTAAATTTATATACCAACATTCTAACTATTGACAATAAGCTGCATGGGAAAGGAAAGCAAAACCTGTTCAAAGGTATGGGAGAGGTGAAATAGCATACTTGTCTATGAAGAAATGGGAATCTGTGAAAATTTATATAGGGAGGGGCACGTGTCCAATCATGCATTACCTCCCTTCTTGCTAACGCCGCTTTTGATTAATCTCTGTGTGTCTAGCAAAATGTTGATAGTTGTATACAACAAACCATTTCTTTTATAAGTAAGAAAATTTGAAAAATAAGCAAATGTTAAACACAGGAAGAATGTATTTACACAGAGAAAGACGCACTCAAATCTATTTTTATAAATTGTTAATTCATGCAACACAGTAAGCTTTTAAAACTATAATTTGATCTTGTTTATCTAGCTGTCTTAAGGTTTCCTTTTATTGCATTCTTTACTGTTGTATCTACAGTGCCTTTATTGATCATAAGTAATTATAATTGCGTGCAGTTGATGCTTGACATGTATTCATAATTTACAATGGTTTATTCAATAACAAAGGTTTTTTATAATAAGAACTAATTTATTCAAGATTATACATGTATGGATTTTTGATTAATGAAGGCAAAAATCCATTCACAGTTTCGAAAATTTTGTCTTAATTATTGGCATTCAAATCCTGTCTTAGATAAGTGGTTCTCTATACCTGAAATAAAACTTGTGAAACTTTATAAGATTTAGCAGTAGTCCTTTGGAATTCTACTAATCTCAATGTAATTATGTACTCTGCATGAGGTTCTTATTTATGTATTTTGTTTCAATAACAATTGTTTTTAGTGAGTGATGTATACTTAGTTATATAACTAGAATGTTCTACATAGACGTCATTAATGTGTTTTAATACTGTTTGTTGAAGGAGATCCTGACTCACTCTTCATCTTCGTTCGTTATTCAAATGTGTTTATGTAACAAAACTCATAAGGATAAAAGATTGATGTTACAATAAGGTATCAACTCTCATCACCATTTTTAATCTGATATGTATGTGGTCGCGTTGTTTATATTAAATCTTTCATCCGTTTGTTGAGTATGAGACATGTAAAGAACTAAAGCAAGCATAATTTTGTTCACACGGTCGTCTTACTTCTAAAACGGAAGTAAATTTAGAAAAATTAAACAATATATTAGAATTACATTACCGACATAACAAATTAGCTAAAGCAACATCTTGATAAAGTATGACTGAACATGCACGAGAAATCATATCTAAATTTATATACCAACATTCTAACTATTGACAATAAGCTGCATGGTAAAGGAAAGCAAAACCTGTTCAAAGGTATGGGAGAGGTGAAATAGCATACTTGTCTATGAAGAAATGGGAATCTGTGAAAATTTATATAGGGAGGGGCACGTGTCCAATCATGCATTACCTCCCTTCTTGCTAACGCCGCTTTTGATTAATCTCTGTGTGTCTAGCAAAATGTTGATAGTTGTATACAACAAACCATTTCTTTTATAAGTAAGAAAATTTGAAAAATAAGCAAATGTTAAACACAGGAAGAATGTATTTACACAGAGAAAGACGCAACCGAAACTATTTTTATAAATTGTTGATTCATGCAAAACATTAACTTTTTAAAACTATAATTTGACCTTGTTTATCTAGCTGTCTTAAGGTTTCCTTTTATTGCATTCTTTACTGTTGTATCTACAGTGCCTTTATTGATCATAAGTAATTATAATTGCGTGCAGTTGATGCTTGACATGTATTCATAATTTACAATGGTTTATTCAATAACAAAGGTTTTTTATAATAAGAACTAATTTATTCAAGATTATACATG